AGCACGTCCACATGTACATCACACGAAGAGCGATAACCTGCAACTGCGGGGCGCACTGCCCGTACCTCGACCACCAACACCCGGACTCGTACGTCTCCGCATCGCCCCTGCACCTCTGTGCATCTCTGTCTCTGTCTCTCCCCCCCCAAGCAATCGTCCCCCTCCGTGTGTGGAAGTCGCGCAACTGTGCACATGCGGTCTCGTAGTCGTGGCTCACCACACTGAACCCTGTCTGCGACAAGATGTAAGTTTCCGCCTCCCTCACCAAGCTCGCGTTGTAGTCGCTGACCACGCCCTCGAAGTACCGCAAGTCCCGCCGGCTGGGACAGAGGAGGTGAGCAGCGGCGTGCGCCGACTCCAGCATGTGAGCGCATCGAGCCTGCACCCTCTGCACAATGTAGTGTGCAAGATCTGGCGGACGTGCACAAACCTCCTCTGCCACCTGGCGGGCCAGATCCTGCGTCCACTCAACCACCCTCGACATGTGCAGCCCTCCGCGGTCCAACCTGCGCAGCAGGTCGTACATAGGCTCCATGATACGGGGCAAGATGCCCATGGAATCCCACCAACTCTTATGTCGCACCTGCACCCTGACCCACCTAGCCAAATGACGAACTGAATGGTCCCAATGGACCATACCCCAACTATCGCCATCCACCGTCCTCTCCAAAGCTGACCTCACTGCCAGCAAACGCTCCACCATCGCGAACACGGATGCGAAACGTGTCTCGCAAGGATAGATGAGGCCAATCTGACTGCTCTCCCCCCGGAAGATATGGAGAGCGGCGCCGTGCTCCTTAATGAAGCGCACCACCGCTCTCCCCCTCACGATGATGTCCTTGGACCACGGGCCCGAACAGCCAATGTCTGACAACATCTTGTTGCAGACATGCACTGCGCATGGGAGCCACGTGATCCGTCGATTCTCCGGCCTTTGCTGGGGCCCCTGGAGCATGTTCGCCGCGGCGACGTACGCCGAGGCGGAGTCGGTGCAGATGGCGTTCACCCACTAAGGGGGGAAGTCAACGAACACCTTGATCCACCGTGCCAACACATCAGGCGCCCGATCCCGCTCACCCTCCCTGTTCATCGTCTGGACGAGCATCACCCCACGCGACCCGCCGGCAAGGAAGTTAACGATGGGTCTAGCATCGCGTGACTTCCTTCCGTCTGACATAATGGTGGCCCCCGTGACATAGAAAGGAGCCTTGACCTCCACGAGATCATCTCCCACATCGTCCGCCGTGTGGACAATGGTCTCTATGTCCGCGATCTCATTCTCTGAAAGCCACAACACCTTCACTGGCCCCGGCAAGTCCCTGAAGTGTCGGACGACGTCCAACCATGGCTCGCTCCGGAAGACGTTGAACGCCAGGCGCTGACTGTACACAAACCGCAGCCACTTCTTCTTGAACACCATCTGCCACTTTGAAGTGAACGACTCCGTGATCGTCTTCTGCCTCATCCTCTTCTGTGCTGCGGCTGCTGCCGTCGGTCTGTCCCCCTCCTCTCTCTCCTTCCTCTTCCCCGTAGATGCACTTGCCTCAGGCGTATCCGCACCTGCCCGTGCACGAACCGACACGTGCGCCAACGCAAAGTACTGGCCCTGCTGCCCCCTCGGCTCGCTGACAACGCCCTTCCCTCGCTCCCTCCTTGACGACCCCGCCTGTGCAACCTCCTGGTCGTCGTCGTCCACATTGATCTGCTCCCCCTCGTCCCTCATCTCTCCCTCCCCCCCCTCGTCCCATTGCGGATCCACCGCAGGCGCCGCACCGTGAAGGTCCTCAAATCGCTGTATCCGCTCTAGGATGCGATTGCCGCGATACTCACTGTTATAGTGGATGTCGACAAGTGCATCGTCTGTCACTTCCGGACATCCCTTGCCCTGGAGGAAATGGCGCGCTGCCACGAACTGGTTGCCCTGGAACTCGTGGCCGCAGAAAACGCACTTCAACATGCGATTGCCGCGGAATCTCTCGCTGAGATTCTGTCCCACGCTGATGTACTTGTACACGCAGCACTTCTTCTGCGCCTTCAGATTCTCGTCCTCCCCCCCATCCTCAAACACCCGAGATTGACTTCGCGACATCGTGCCCGCTCGCTGATAGGTTCACTGAAGCGGTCCGCCCCTAGCCTATCCCACAAAGCCCCAACTCCCGCCGGTGTCCCTCCCCGCCGCAGGCCTCGTAGGGCCCACCCCCAGCTGCCCCCCCCCCCCCCCCCCCCCCCCCCCCCCCCCC